AGAACTTCACATCGGTCGCACACCCGCAGGGAAACGGTCAGATAGAAGTAATGAACAAAGCTATCCTCCGCAGACTGAAAGCGCGACTAGACCGAGCTAAAGGGTTGTGGGCGGACGAGCTACCAAGTGTTCTATGGGCTCACCGAACTACGGAAAAAACCACCACAGGAGAGACCCCCTTTAACCTCACCTACAACACTGAAGCGGTAATCCCGGCGGAGATCGAAGTACCTACACTACGACCAGAAGCATATGACGATCAGACAAACGGAGACGAGTTACGTACCAACCTTGACCTACTGAACGAGGTAAGAGACCTCGCGTACATTCGGACCATAGCTTACCAGCAAAGAGTAGCTCGGTACTACAATGCCAGAGTAAAAAAACAGAACTTCCACGTCGACGATCTGGTTCTCCGTAAGATCATGGCACCCGAGCCCGACGTAGGCAAACTTGGACCGAATTGGGAAGGGCCCTACAGAGTGAAGAGAGCGCTCGGGGGGGCATACGAGCTCGAAACCTTAGAGGGAAACAAGTACCCCATGCGTGGAACGTCGTTAACTTGAGACGATACTATCTATAGACCACCAAGCGAAGTGGACTAAGTCGCTACCAGAGCCTAAGGGCTAGGATGTCGAGCTAACAAAGAACCTCGGCATAGGCAAGCAAAGGCAAAAAGTGCCAACCAAAAGCTAAGGCAAAGTGCTGACAATGAACTAATAGGGGCATCGGCATCTCAGAGAACAAGTATTAACACCAAAACAGGCCGCACGAGTGTAGTAACCCGGGCAAAAAACAGATCGGGCATATGATCAGTTCGGCAAATACGGTCAGTTCGGGAGAGAGAACAACCAACACTTAACCAAAAGAAAGTCATTCCATTGCAAAATAAGGGAGTGTACATTTCCAAAATATATATATATACATATCGAGCTCACAGGCCTGGAGGTACTTCGTCATCATCAGAAGGCACTTCAACGATACCCGAAGGTCTTGCCTCATCCTCAGAGTCCGATTCACCGTCTACAGCGTTGGCCATCTCCTGAGTAATGCACGAAGTGGTTATAGCGCTAATATTCAGCTTGGGGTACGTATTCTGGATCATCCACCGGCTTAGTTTAAAGCCCCTTCTGTACGAGCCCACCATCAGGTCATCAAAGCGCGACGAGGCGATATATTCATCGACGGCCTTCTTCTTGGCATCCTCAATGCCTTGAGAAAAGATCTGCATCCTCTCCCTAATATCCTCTTGAAGGTATTCAACCTGATGCTGCAAATCCAGCCTCAGGTCCGCCATATGCTTCACCACAACTCCCATGGCCTCGGTATCTCTGAGACCTCGCTAGCCTGGCCTGTGCAGCGCAAGAAGCCGCCTCGGCAGCACGGGAAGCCTCTTCGGCAGCTCGCGCCTGCCTCGGGCTCCTTTCCACTTGGGCCGCCAAGGCATGGATAGAAGAATTCACCTACCAAAAGGAAAAATAACAAATGATCAAAAGAACGATAGCAAGAAAGATAAAAGCAAAGAGCCCGACAAGAAATCGCTAACTTACCACCATGGCATGAGTGGTAGCACGGCAAGCTACCTGGTTCAAAGGAAGCTCAGTCCATGCCGCGACCTCCTTAGGGTAAATGGCCTCCCTACTCTTCTGAAGAGCCTGGTTCGGCGACAACACGCTCCTGAACTCGCCTTGGGCTCCCGAGCCTGAAGGCCCAGCTCACGTATAAGCATACTCGTAGTAAAGAGGGAGCCCCCGTGTAAGTAGCCTCGGCATAAGGGGCCCCTGCCGCTTCTTGTACTGGAGGGGCCATCTCGGGCTCCCTGAACGGATCCACTGACGGGTAGTCCGGTACCTCGGGCTCTGCATCTCGGGGCAACTCGGCATGAGTTCGTTTGGCGACTCGCTTCCTCCTCTTCATGGCGTGAAACAGGTTCCCACCATGAGTCTTCTCTGAGTCCATCACACCTGCAAAAAGAGCTCGACATCAGGAAAACGAAAGAACAGAACAAAACAAAAGGCAAGCCTCTGAGTAAGGAACCTACCCGAACTTAGACCGGCCTCGATGAGGTTAGCTTTCGTCAGATAATGGTGGCATTTTAGCCCAAGCCGTGCCCATTCCCGGAGGCCCTTCGCCGTCTCCCTATCAAGCGTAACACCGACATCAGGGGCAGTCATCCCCCACCCGGTTTGGAACGGCCACTCCAATGCACTTCGCACCCCGAAGTAGTCTCGTTTCCACGCCGAGACCTTGTTGGGAAGATCGTGCAAAAGCTTAAAACCCGGGCGAGGAGACAGGTAATACGCCCGCCTACGCCCAGGAAGGGGACCCGCTTGCTTCTTAAGCATTAGAATGGAAGAAAAAATCTCCAGGTCTAAAGGCAAGATCTGTTTGCAAAATAGGGAGATTGTCCCCACCAAGTTACGAATAGAATTCGGGTGAAGCTGGCCGACAGTAACGCCGAAGTGGTTCATAACCTCGACAATAAGGGGGTGGAAAGGCAGGCGCAACC